CATCCCAGGGATGCAAGGATGGTTTAACATTCAGAAATCAATCAACATAACCCATCATATCAATAAAATAAAAGATAAAAACCATATGATCATATCAATAGATGCAGGGAAAGCATTTGACAAGGTCCAGAACCTGTATATGATGAAAACTCTCACAAAAATGGGCTTTGAAGGAATCTTCCTCAAGATAATCAAAGCCATTTACCACAAACCTATCACAAGCATTGTACTCAATGGGGAAAAACTAAAGGCCTTTCCACTAAGAGCAGGGACAGACAAGGTTGCCCACTCTCACCACTTCTGTTCAATATAATACTGGAAGTACTTGCAATAGCGGTTAGGCAGAAAAAATGTATTAAGGGCATCCAGATAGGAAAGGAAGAAATCAAGCTCTCACTATTCGCAGATGACATGATTCTATACCTAGAGAACCCTAAATCCTCTACCAAGAAACTCCTAGAAACAACAGACTTGTGCAGTAAAGTCGCAGGCTATAAAATCAACACCCAAAAGTCCATGGCTTATTTATATGCAAATAATGAGACAAAGGAAAATGACATGAAAAAAGCAATCCAGTTCACAATCATGCCCCAGAAAAATCAAGTACCTAGGAATCAGCTTAACTAAGGAGGTAAAGGGCCTCTACAAAGAAAACTACAAAACACTACTCCAAGAAATAATAGAGGACATGGGGAAATGGAAAGATATCCCCTGCTCATGGATTGGGAGAATTAACATTGTCAAAATGGCAATACTCCCCCAAAGCATTATACAGATTCAATGCAATCCCTATAAGGATACCCATGACATTCTTCAAAGAAATGGAGCAAACACTCCTGAAATTCATGTGGAACAATAAACTTCCACAAATAGCCAAAGCAATTCTTGGGAAAAAGAAGATGGAGGCATCACCCTCTCCAACTTCAAATTCCACTACAAATCAGTAACAACTAAAATGGCATTGTACTGGAAAAAAGGCAGAGCTGCAGACCAATGGAACAGGAGGGAATGTCCTTACACGCAACCCCAAATATATGAACATCTAATCTTTGACAAGGGAGCAAGAAATGTAAAGTGGAGCAAGGAAAGCCTCCTTAACAAATGATGCTGGCATAGCTGGACAGCCAATTGCAAAAAAATGGGCTTGGACCTTGACCTAGCATCATGCACAAAAGTCAGATCAAAATGGATTAAAGACCTCAACATCAGGCCAAGACCTCAACATCAGGCCACAATCCGTAAGGTACACGGAAGACAAGTTTGGCAAAATCCACGACACTGAAGCTAACAGAACCTTCAAAGACAACATGTCACTGATCAAGCAAGTGAAAACAGAGATAAACAAATGGGACTATCTTTTGTCTAGGAAGCTTCTGCACCTCAAAAGAAACAGTGACCAAAATACAAAGACAGTCTACAGAAAGGGAAAGGATATTCGCCCAATACCCATCCAACAAGGGGTTGATATCAAGGATATACAAAGCACTGGTTGAACTCCACAAGAAGAAAACATCCAACCCGATCAAAAAATTGGGTGACGAACAGAAATATTCTCAAAGAAGAAATCTGAATGGCTAAAAGGCACATGAGAAAATGCTCCACATCATTAATCATCAGGGAGATGAAGATCAAAAGAACAATGAGATATCATCTCACACCACAGAGACTGGCACACACCCAAAAAGACAAAAGCAACTGGTTTTGGCACGCATGTGGCAAGAAAGAGATCCTCCTTCACTGCTGGTGGGAATGCTTTCTGATTCAGCCCTTTTGGAAAACAGTATGGACGATTCTCAAAAAAATTGGAAATTGAGCTCCCATTTGATCCAGCAATACTACTCCTGGGAATATATCCCAGAGAAGCAAAAAGGTATAGTCAAAATGACATCTACATTTGTATATTCATTGCTGCACTGTTCACAATAGCCAAAATCTGGAAAAAACCCAAGAACAGATGACTGGTTAAAGAAACTTTGGTACATCTACAAAATGCAATACTATGCAGCTGTTAGAAATGATGAAGTCATGAAATTTGCATACAAGTGGATCTACATGGAAAGTATCATGCTAAGTGAAATGAGTCAGAAAGAGAGGGACAGACTGTACTCAGCTGGGGAATATAAAGTAACAGAATGGGTGGCTAATACCCAAGAATATTTGAGAGAAGTACCAGGAGGTTTGTTCCACAACTTGGAAGCTGGTAGCACATGCCGGGGGGGGGGGGGGGGGGGGGGAGGGGGGGAGGGGTAGAATCAGCTCAGATAGAGAAGGGAACACCAAGTAAAGGGTGTTTTGAGGATCCGTTAAGGATGAGAGTTACGTGCTGAAAATAAGACTATAGGTGAAACATGATGGCCATTCAATATGTCTATTGCAAACCACAACACCCTAAAGGAAAGAGAGAGCAAAAGGGAATGCCCTGCCACAGAGGTGGGGGGAGAGAGGGATGCAAGTGAAGGAGGCATTACTGGGATCATTGGTGGTGGACAATGGGCACTGGTGGAGGGATGGATACTCAATCAAATTTTCAAAAACAGAAGAGAAGCTAGGGAGACAGCTTCAAGTGCACAAGCTTTGCGTGCAGTGAGGATCAAACCTGGACCATATAATCCCCTGAGTAACACACCAGGGGTAGCCCTGAGCATTATCTTGTATGACCCAAAAATTAAATAAATAGAATTAAAAACAAAAGAAGCAGAGAACTAAGCTAATGAATCAAGATGAGACTGAGACTGAGACTGGTGATCAGCAGTAGAGTGCCTTCCCTGTTTTTGTGAGGCCAGGAATTTAACTTTACTTCAAAATGTACATTTCCAAGTACAATTCTTACACAATCCAACCAACCATGTATAAACATGACTATCAACCCGTGACAAGCACCATGACCAAGTGTTCAAGCATCACAATAAGTATGCAAATTCCAACTTAATAGCAACATTAATTATAAATAACAAATGACAATAGCAAAAGGCAGGGTAAAGGAAACAAATCAATAAATAAGTTTTATTCTATTAAAAAAATAAAATAAAATGATTAGGAAATACCTGCACAGGATAAATGGAACATGGAAATATCTGTATAAAGATCTTATAAAGAACAGGAAAAGCTGTAATACTTCCATATACTCTCTGAAGTAAGGTGTAGGAGGATGGTTCCTTTAGCCTTAAGATTATTTTGCAAGTCTCTAAAAAAATACTACCATTGTCAAAAAAATAGTATCTGCCTCATTGAAATGCCTTTTGGAAACTTTTTTCAATGTGGTATATCTTGTCTGTTTTAATAAAACATGTCAGAAGTTAATAGATCTATGTCATTGCATTAAATAACTTGAAAAACAAATAAGTCCCTTTTCATTCTTAGATAGTTCTCAGAAGTCAACAACGCTACCCTAGAGAAATCCACCATGGTACCCATAACAGATCTTCACAACTAAGAGGAACAAAAAAAACCAAAAGATTCATGTTTCCTTTATTTTCCTTTTCTCTCCTTTGCTATCTTCTTTACTTCCTTTCATTCAACTATTATGGACTCTCCTGAGTATCCCACACCGTATTAGTTAAAGAGTATTGTTTAACAGCAACTGCAGGAAAACAGAAAAGCTCCAATTACTAACTCTCTATTTCCCCAATTAAAGGCAAGCCTCAAAAAAAATGGCACTTAAATATTCCTTCCTGTTGAATACATATTGTGCTGCTATAAAATATAAAAAATAGAATTGCAATATGGTATTGACAAAACCATCACAGCCAATTAAAAATCAAAGCAACATTCCTCATTGTGTGGAAAAGCAATCTTTTCCTTAACCAGTTTTTTCCTGAAGGAATGTTAATAACCTTATGGCAAGAAGGAAAATACAAATATGCAACACAATGTAAACTGTGTCTGCTAGAATACTGCTAGTATAGAAATGTGATCAAAATAAAGCTGACCAAGGGCCAGAGAAATAGCAGAGCTAGTAAGGTGCTTGTCTTGCATGCGGCTCACTCAGATTACATCCTGGACATTTCATATGATTTCCTGTGCTCAGAGATCACCAGGAGTGATGGGAGGGAAAGGAAGGAAAGGGAAGGGGAGGGAAAAAGGATGGGAGGGGAAGGGGGGAGGGGAAATAGAGGTGACCAATAGCATAAACTCTCCCTCTTCGTGGCAAACGCCTGATAGCACAGCGGGTAGGGCGTTCGCCTTACAAGCGGCCAACATGGCCGACCCGAGTTCGATTCCTCCGCCCCTCTCGGAGAGCCCGGCAAGCTACCGAGAGTATTCGATATGCCAGACACAGTAACAACAAAGTCTCCAATGGAGACGTTACTGGGCCCGCTCGAGCAAATCGACGATCAACGGGAGGGCCCTTTTAATTAAACTTTGAATATCTGCAGAGCCTGGCAAGCTACCCATGATGTATTCAATATGCCAAACACAGTAACAACAAAGTCTCCAATGGAGACGTTATTGGGCCCACTCGAGCAAATCGATGATCAACAGGAGGGCCTTTACTACCTTACCTCCCTCTTCGTAGTTTCTCACCAGAATTCTGACACAGCACCTGCTCAATACTGTCTTCATGATCCCTCAAAACGATTCTATGTAGTACTTCCAAAGAAATCCCCAGAACAAATTAAATTCTGTGATTTCTGTGCTTAAAACCTGCTGTCCTTTATTATATAAGGCAGAAGAGCTTTCACCTAGGTGAAAAACTTTAACCAAACTCCATGACCCAGGATAGGTCAAACATAACAACCTAAAGATATAATCCAAATTCTTTTAAATGTCTAAGTCTGACATGTAACTCTATTGCTCCATCTCTACCCATCATCTCCACTCACTAACGTTCCCTATCATTCTCATGGGGAACATTCTGGCTACTGCAGTAACAGGAACAATAAAAATTTATCATCAAATAATTCTGTAAAGGAATCCTAAGAATGCATGTCCAAGTCTTAAATATTCATGTCTGACATCAATTCCACACTAAACAAAGAAATACAAATAAAGTATCTTACTTGAACCAAAGATGACTTGACACTGAGCATCGTAATACTGGCACATGCCATTGTAGCAGTAGGCTTTGTTATTCTGGCAAGGATATCCATTCTGAATAAAAACATCTGGTTGGCAGAACTGAGAAGTACCATTGCAATATTCTGGAACATCACATTCATTAGTTTTTCCTCGGCATAAAGTACCTCCTGGAAGAAACTAAGGAAATAAGACTGAAATTAAACTGAAGTATCATGACAATCCCACAAATTTATCAAATCTAAAACCACAATATTTATACATATAAGAGTAAATAATCCAATAGAAAAATGAAAAGTGAATGAAAAATTTATAAAATATAAAAAAGAAAAATTATAACCGCATCAACAACCCAAAAATCACTGTCACTGTCTTCCCGTTGTTCATCGATTTGCTCGAGCAGGCCCAGTAACGTCTCCATTGGAGACTTTGTTGTTACTGTGTTTGGCATATCGAATGTGCCATGGGTAGTTTGCCAGCTTTGCTGTGCAGGCGAGATACTCTCAGTAGGTATCTCGAGAGGGCCGGAGGAACTGAATGCAAAAATGTGAATTAAAAATATAAAAGCACTTTCCATCTAGTAAAGTCAAAATTATAATACTTACTAGCAATTCAATAGTCAATATTGTCAATAGGCCCTCCCGTTGATCATCGATTTGCTCGAGCGGGCCCAGTAACGTCTCCATTGGAGACTTTGTTGTTACTGTGTCTGGCATATCGAATACTCTCGGTAGCTTGCCGGGCTCTCCGAGAGGGGCGGAGGAATCGAACTCGGGTCGGCCATGTTGGCCGCTTGTAAGGCAAACGCCCTACCGCAAATAAGCATTTTATAAAACCATTGGTCAAAGTATATACTTTTGCAATGTGTATATAGAATGTATGTCAAAGTCTTGAATATTTATGTCTGACATTCATTCCACAAATAAACAAAACTGGAAGAATTTAAAAAGCCATCATTAGGAAATTAGATAAATTATGGAATAACCATAGAAAGCAGTTCTGTGTAACTATGCAAAACCATATGAATTTTATTTCCATATTATGTTGAAAATACAATTTTAAAATCCTAATTGTATAAATACACTGGATTTCAGAAACACTGTAAATAAACAATGAAAATAATAAAATTTTTATCCAGTGACTCTCTCTCACACACACACACACACACACACACACACACACACACACGTACAGCTCACTCACATTTGTATAAGGAAAATTAGCTAATTTATTAACAAATCAACAATGGCTATATGAGTAGGAAAAAATTGATAGTCTTTCAGTTTACATTATATACCTTGGTATTGCTGAACTATTTATAAATATATGCGGATTTTAAAACAACAAAAATCACTAGGCTTTCATAAAAGAATGTGATTCCAAATCGGTAAAAAGTGACATAATTTTCCATATAATCATGCTTTTTTAAATCATTTTTTAAGGACACCAGAATAATAGTACAGTGGGTACGGTGCTTGTGTTCCATGTGGGTACTCCAGGTTTGGTCCCTGGTGCCACAAATGGTTGTCCAAGCCCGCCAGGAGTCACCCTTGAGTACAGTGTCAGGAGCAATCGCTGAACACAGCTGGGGTGACCCAAACAAACAAAACAAGCCATTTCTTAACAGAATGGAGACAAAAACCATTTGATTATGAATTTTTTTTACTATTATACTTTTTCCAAATAGAGACAAAAACTTGATTATACATATCTTTCTTTTTCTATTATTATTTTTTTTTTCAAATAGGGCATCTTACCCAACAGTCTTTACAACAGTCACCATAGGCACATTCAGCAGATGATTTAAGCTTACATGTACTCCCTTCACAACAAGGGTCCAATTCACATTCCTGTGAAGAGAAAATGACCATCAATTTTTACGCCATTGTTATCAATATTCATTAATAAAACTCTTATCTTGAACCAAATATTTATATCTTTCTTTTCTATAGCAATCACTCTCTGGAGATGGCCACTAACTAACCAATGAGACACTGACTTTGTAACTGTCTAGGTCCCTGTACAGTTCTGGAGGAGCCCCAAATCAGTCCTCAGGGGACCTGGGGCCCCCTTCCTGTGATTGTCTGTTAACTGAACCAGTGGTTCAATGATAGGGCCAAGGATGCCACTCTATTCAGGTTCTGCAGTACCAAAAATTGTGCTCCGGGGTCTCCAGGTCTATCCAGCAATGTCTGGGGAACTATGGGCTACAGAAGATTAAGTTGCGGACAGCTGCCTGTACGGCAGAAGTCTTGACCAGTATTAGCTCTCTGACAACAGTTTATTTTAAAAGGCTGATAAGGTATGTAGATTAGTTTACTGAAACTGCCAGAACAAGATACCATAGATTCACAGTTCCAGAGGCTAAAGGTTCACAATCAAAGTTTTAGATGATTCTACTTCTGGCAACCTGTAGACTTGAATGACAATGAAATAATGGAATATAAGAAATGCGACACTGTGCTGCAGGGTCGGGGAGACGGTACTGTGTGTGAGAGGAGTGGGCACTGCAACTCTGCATTCAGTAATTTTCCATTCATTGTCTTTGTACCTCTAAAAATGTCCCTAATTAATGTGCATTAATTTCTTAAGAGCTTTATGATAAAGTAAGGATAAATAAAAATATAAGAACACATATAACAAAGGACCTTACCTATATCAGTTCTTTAAAAAAATAAAAAAAAAATCAGGGTATGGTGCTGCCAGCAGATCAGCCTGTACCTGCAGGGAGAGTGCATCAACAGCCTGATGGTGCCTTCAGACTTCCAGATACCCCAAAATTGCTGCTGTGCCTTTGGCCAGACCCCAACAACTTGGGGCCAAATTTACCAAGAAATTAAAAAGCCAAATATTAGATATGTAGGAGCCACACCCACAAATCATCTCCAGCTCAGCTATATAAGCTCATTTATTGACCTTATTTCAGAGATCCATAAATCTCGAAAGAGATCAAGAGCCATAGTTAGGGCCAGTGGGACAAAGCAATGCGGTGAGTGGACACACCCTGCAGGGCATATGCCAATAGTTTATTTCTCTGGAAAAGATGGAAACAAGGGCCATGATCCAAAAACACACAAAAGAATCTCCGAACCAAGCAGCTCGTTGCAGACATGCCTCTGGACTTTAAGTCAGGCCAACTTCACTGCAGTGCCTCAGACGGGGCAGGCATCATCCCTCTGCCTGTCCCCTAAAAGCCCCGGTGGCTGCCAACTTCCAGAACCCAGTGAGAAGTGCAGGCTGTCTTCACAGGGTCACCTCAGAGAGGGGCAGGTTGAGTTTCCCTCCCCGCCCCAAGCAGAACCCTGGCAGCCAAAAACCTCCAGAACCCAACCGCCGCCATGCCCAAGGTCACTCTCCACACACTAGGACGAGCCTCACCCAAGAGGAGATGGACTTCACCAGAGAGCGGATTGGCAGGAAAACCCAGATATGTGGGAACCTGTGACTGAGATCTCCAAGCCTGCTCAGATCAGGACTGGGCCTCCTCCCACCAGGTCCCCAGTTTTCCAAAAGCTTGAAGTCACACCGAAAAACTGCCCCCAGCCCATGTAATCTCATCAATGGCCAAGACCCAGAGACTATAAACTAAAGTTCCTAGAAGAGAATGACACAGAATTTCCTAGACATTATATTCTATCCATAACAAGCAATACAAAACAAATCGTCTAGCACTGACTTTCAGCAGTTTTGAGTGGTGGTGGGACTGGTGTCAAAATAACAAATGTAACCAAAGTAGAGAGAGAGTATGGGGGAAATTGTCTGCCATACAGGCAGGGGAAGGGCTGGAATGGTGGGGAGAGGGAGAAGGGATACTGGGGATTTTGGCGGTGGAAAACGTGCGCTGGTGAAGAGATGGCTGTTTGATCACTGTATGACTGAAGCTCAAACCTGAAAACTTTGTAACTTTATCTCATGGTGAATCAATAAAAAGGGGGAAAATAATAATAATAAAATAAGATTAACATTCTGAATTTTAAAAAATCAATAAAAAAACTGAAAAACTGAATCCAATAGAAAACTGGCAAGGAACACAGTAACAACAAGTCTCACGATGGAGATGTTACTGGGCCCGCTTGAGCAAATCGATGAATAACGGGAGGACCGTGATGATGATGTGATAATTGTAAAGGTAAAGGTAAAGGCCCTCCCGTTGATCGTCGATTTGCTCGAGCGGGCCCAGTAACGTCTCCATTGGAGACTTTGTTGTTACTGTGTCTGGCATATCGAATACTCTCGGTAGCTTGCCGGGCTCTCCGAGAGGGGCGGAGGAATCGAACTCGGGTCGGCCATGTTGGCCGCTTGTAAGGCGAACGCCCTACCGCTGTGCTATCGCTCCAGCGATAATTGTATATAATTACATATATATATAATTATAAACATATATAATTACATATATATATATATATATATATATGGGCTGGAGCGATAGCACAGCAGCAGAGCATTTGCCTTGTGCGCAGCCAGCCCAGCAGAGCCAGGTTCGATTCCTCCACTCCTCTTGGAGAACCCGGCAAGCTACCAAGAGTATCTTGCCCACACGGCAAAGCCTGGCAAGCTAACTGTGACATCTTCAATATGCCAAACACAGTAACAACAACTCTCAAAATGGAGACATTACTGAGCCCACTCAAGCAAATCAATGAACAACAGGAATGTATTTGTTTTATTCTGTGTGTGTCTGTGTTTGTGTGTCTGTGTGTGTATACAAAATTCTAAAAAAATTAGAAGAAAATTATACACTGAAGACTAGGTATGGAACTCAGTGGTAGAGTACATTTTTCACAAATATGAGATCCTGAGTTTGTTTTCATCTCCAGCGTAAGAAAAAAAGAGTGAGCAAGGCCAGAGAAGTTGTACAGTGAGTAAGGCTCTTGCCTTACACATGGCTAACCCAGGTTTGATCCCTGGGACCACATATTGATTCTCCAAGCCCACCAGGAGTAATCCCTGAGCACATAGGAAGTAAAAAGTCCTGAACATGGCAGAAAGAAAAGAAGGAAGGGAAAGAAGGAAGGAAGGAAGGAAACAAGGGAAGGAGGGAAGGAAAGGCAAAGAGAGAGAGAGAAAAAAAGTGTGGGATATCACCGGGAGGTCCCAGATAGGGTAGGTGCTGCATCCCGCCTTCTCCAGATGGAACCCCGGTGACCATGAGCAGGATATTTTTTCCAAACCGTGCAACATCTCCTTATATACAAAGTGATCAATGGAAAGTAAATCATCCAAAGTTTCTCCCTAAAATCAGGCTTAACTCTTTTGCAAAGCACAACAACCAAAAGGAGAGAGAGAACAGAGGGGAATGCCCTGCCACAGAGAAAGGGTGGGATGGGGGACATGGGGGGTGGGAGGGATACTGGGATCCGTGGTGGTGGGAAATGGGCACTGGTGGAGGGATGGGTATTTGAAATAAATAAATAAATAATAGTGAGAGCTGGGAATTATGCATATGATCCGTAAGTATACAAAAAAGATATAAAATAAGATAATACATTCCCATTTTTCACCCATCAAAATCTGGCCCAAAAATTTTGAGGAGGGGGTTAGGTAGAAAATCAAACATTAAATAAGTAAAAATAAAGTTTAAGAACTGAAAAGATTATCTTCTTCCTGGGACAAAAAAGAACTTAAAAAATTGTCATTCTCCCCAAACAGTTTCTATGAAGCCCATATCTCTCTAATACCAAAAGGAAACAAAGACACCACAAGAAAAGAAAACTACAGGCCGATATCCCTGATGAACACGGATGCGAAGATTCTCAACAAAATACTAGCCAATAGAATTCAACAATTCATCAAAAAGATCATACATCATGATCAAGTAGGATTCATCCCAGGGATGCAAGGATGGTTCAACATTCGGAAATCAATCAACATAATCCATCATATCAACAAAAGAAAAGATAAAAATCATATGATCATAATCAACAGATGCAGAGAAAGCATTTGACAAGATCCAGCACCCATTCATGATGAAAACCCTTGCCAAAATGGGGATAGAGGGGACTTTCCTCAATATAGTTAAAGCCATCTACCACAAACCTACAGCAAACATCATCCTCAACGGGGAAAAACTGAGAACCTTCCCCCTAAGGTCAGGGACGAGACAAGGATGCCCACTCTCTCCACTGCTGTTCAATATAGTACTGGAAGTACTTGCAATAGCAATCAGGCAAGAAAAAGATATTAAGGGCATCCTGGTAGGAAAGGAAGAAATCAAGCTCTCACTATTCGCAGATGATATGATACTATACTTAGAGAACCCAATAACCTCCACCAAAAAACTCCTAGAAACAATAGGCTTGTATAGTAAAGTGGCAGGCTATAAAATCAATACTCAAAAATCCATGGCTTTCCTATATGCAAATAGTGAAAGAGAAGAAAGTGACATGAAGAAAACAATTCCATTCACAATTGTGCCCCAGAAAATCAAGTACCTAGGAATCGCCTTAACTAAGGAAGTAAAGGATCTGTACAAAGAAAACTACAAAACGCTACTTCAGGAAATAAAAGAGGACACGAGGAAATGGAAAAATATCCCCTGTTCATGGATGGGGAGAATCAACATCGTCAAAATGGCAATACTTCCCAAGGCACTGTACAAATTCAATGCAATCCCTATAAGGATACCCATGACATTCTTCAAAGAAATGGAGCAAACACTCCTGAAATTTATATGGAACAACAAGCCCCCACGAATAGCTAAAGCAATTCTTGGGAAAAAGAAAATGGGAGGAATCAACCTACCTAACTTCAAGCTCTACTACAAAGCAGTAATAATCAAAACAGCATGGTACTGGAACAAAGGCAGAGTTGCAGATCAATGGAACAGAGTTGAATATACTGACATCTCCTC